TTGTAACCTCAAGTATCAAGCCTGATTCTCTCACCGGTTCTTAAGTTTCTTATGGTAAGTTAAGTTTTAACTACCAGTTTCTCATATAACAGGTTGGCCAAAATATTAAGTTACGTCAAGTTGCGGAAATTAAGTCTAGAATAAGTGAGTTTTAAGTCATATGTGTCCAAAGAATAAATATCTTTTGAGGTACCTGCTGCAAAAAACAAAGCTTGTAAAGATTTATTAAGAAAATAATTCAAAATCACTTCTACTTACAAGATTTAGTAACAAATTTGCCGAAAGTGTGAGCGTAAGTACTTACTCTACAAGCAAATAGTACGCTATAAAGGGTGAACACACCAAAACTGCGACACTTTGGGAAGCTTATAACTTACCCAAAAAGATTTCAATATTTTGAAATTCAAATACCATAAGCTGACCTTAGTTGGACGTAGACGAAGTTTTATTTGAATTTGATTCCTAGTTGAGTTAAAAATGGCAACCGAGTTAGAAACGAGACAAACCATTTTGCACGAGTTTATAAATGATCCGGCCTTAAGTAAGGGGGTTAGAAACAGTGCTCGGAAGGTCCTCAGTGCGTTTTCGCGAGATCCGAAGGTTTTGTCGGGTTATGTTGCAAAATCCGTATGGAGATCGCAGTTTTTCGTACAAAAGGTAAAGCGGAAAGCTTCATTGAGATGTTCTACAGCTCGAACAGCGCCAGACCGAGCCGCAAAGTAGAATGTTACAGCGAAATTTCGCAGTCGGAAGTTGTATGGATTCTAAATTAAAAAATACAACTGCATTGTTATGGACTACGAAACCTACTGCTTTAAAAATTCAAAATATATTGCAGGCCCAAGATTTTTATACTGCTGCAAGTCGTCAAAATGTCCTCGAAAGTTGTAAGGTGAAAATGAAGTCCAAATTTCCAAAAAACAACATGGTTTGGCAAGCTATTTGTTCCTGTGGCCGTAAGAGCCCTTTTTCCCCATCCAGGACAATGAATGATCAAGTTTATCGGGATGAGTGCCTGAAAAAGCGTCTTCTGTCAGCGGACATGGCAAGCTGCCACTATGCCAAGGACACATTGCCGTGGTATAATGCAAATAACATCAATTTTGTACCTCACGACTGAAATCCACCCAATAGCCCAGAGCTACGTCCTATTGGGGAATATTGGTCAATTGTCAAAGGAATCTGGAAGAAAACAGGGGAAACAGTAAAAAATATTGAAGAGTGCAAAACAAAGCAGTTGTGCGCATCGCGTAAAGTCGATGATGCAGTCGTGCAGAACATGATGGCGCGTGTGCGATGAAAATACCGATCACTTGCATATGGAGCAAATAATAACTAATATTTTAACATTTTAATAACAGATCAGATTACATATAAACTTCTAAGTTATATAATACAAAAAAAAATAACTTCAAAGCCTTCTAGTTTGTTTCTGGTAGTAATCTCTAAGTGTCGCAGTTTTGGTGTGTTCACCCTTTACATTGAATATATTGTGCATAGAGAAAAATTACTGGGAAGTTAAAAAACGTCATTTTTTACACAAAAAACGTTCAAACTTCAACAGGATACAAAAAACGTCCAAATGACGTTAAAAACGTCAACCTGGCAACGCTGCTTTGAAGCTTTATACGCAAGCATACAAGGTATTATGTTTGCGTATACGTACTTATTAACTTCATCACAGTTCCCCTGCCTATACTTACTTAGAATATAATAAACTCAGCTGAGGTGGATTTCCATGGCAGGAGCTTCTATGTAATACACAGTTATGCCCAACAAATGTACTCATTATAAGCATACAAGTAGTCATACATTTATGCTGCCCATTAGCAAAGCAACGCGCTGCGGAGATTATTAAAGCGCAAAGGGCGCGTATCGCAACTTAAGGGGCTTCTAGACACCACCAAAAATGTATGTGTGTTGATAGTTTTATTTGCGCTTTTTTGTTACTCTTTCGCTCTTATTAGGTTTTCCCTTAGCAATGTTTTTATATCTCTTCGACTGCTTATCACATACAAACCACATTCTTTCAATTGTAAGAAAAAACGCAGAATACCTTTTTTTATTTAAAAAATCTTTGCTTCAACAAAGCCTACTTAATGACGTTGCGACATTAAACTTTTACAACAATTGTTATCACCCACCAGAAGGCATATTTTCTGTTTTCAGTTCTTTCGTTCGGCATTCTTATCTTTCTCTGCGCATTAAATATTTTCATTTCACGCTGGTGTTGCTTTTTTTTTAATTCTTTTGCACTTTCGGAAGCGTGATTTTCGGTGCTTTCCATCTTTCAGTTATTTTCTTCTTCATTTTTTTTTTTTGTTTTTTTTTTTTTTTTTTGAAGGCCACATCAGGCATTAACTCTCGTTCGCTTTCAGTGAAGCTTTGCTCTTGTAATATGTATTTGATAAGTATTTATGTGCTATCTAAATACAAACATACATACTCACATTTGTAGCGCACACGGCGTATGAGTAACCTAGGGTTAATAATACAGTCGAATACCGATAGTATGTAATTGCATGGAACTAGTAATATTTTGAGAATTAATGGGGTTTTCGAATTAGCGAGGTTTCGATTTTACCGAACCAGGTAAAAATTCTAAAAAAAAATTTTTAACACATGAGTTAACTGTAACCGTAAACGCTTTAATGCTAGACTTATTTGTTCGTTTTCACTTTGGATTACTAATTACAAGAGGTGATTACAAAGCATTACGATTTATAAGTGGTTGAACATAACTTAAGTACGTTGTAAAAAAAAATACGAATTAACGATGGGACAAAAATGTATTGAAATTTCGCGAATTAACACAATTTTTTTTAAGGAACTAACAGATTGTTACGAAATTTTCTAACCATTTAAAGGGGGATAACTAAGTAAGAAGAAAGTATGTTGTACGCGTGTAAAGTGTGTACATACATATGTTGAAAAGTGCTATAGAAGTTTTGAAGTTTTTGCGCACTTACAACCATGCAGAGGTGGTAACTACCTTTTTGATCAAATAATTATATATTTTTTATTACAGTGGCGAAAATATAAATAGAGAATAGACATCGTACGACTTTTTGGCATTTCCCTTTCGTTTATTTTACGTTTATTATTTTAGTGATGTAAATTTTCGATACTTCCAAGTATCGATCGATACTCGATACTTTTACATTATTCCGTTAAAAATCCCTTATACCATAACCGATAAAAAGTCGTATGACTTTTAATCTTATGTTCTTACTCAAAGTGACTCTTTTTTAGTAAAAGTGTTTTTAATCGAAAACATTGCATAAAAACGACTGAACTGTTGTTGAAACTTATTGTTAGCTTTATATACTTACCATTACAAATTTGTAAGCGGATCTCTATGGCTCTCCAATGAATGTTCTTGAATATATTGATTACCCTCGACTATGTCAGACGCAAAAAAAACTTCTGTGAGCTTTCTTAGATTTTTGATCAAAATGACTCCAAAGAGAATTGCCGTTTGTTTGATCTACGTTATATTCCGGTAAATTGTCATTTTGAAACCTGGTTACACCACACTGCTCCTCAACCATTCTTCATTCAACCATTGTAAATTTTGCAACCCGTTACTTTGCTTTTGCGACGCTGGCTATGAAAATATATTTTAACGCTGAGGTTTGAGTATCGAAGTATCGACATATTTTTTCAGTACTCAGTGAATACTCGAATTGCTCAACAGTTTCAAATACATAATATTCGATACTCGATACCATTCACATCACTATATTATTTTTGATGAAGTGTGAGTTAAGCTACTGTTATTCTTTTTATAGAGACACTTCCTATAATATTTATTGAATTTTCACTATGTATCTGAAGGTAAAAATGCCGATATGTACATACATATGTACATAAAATAATAAATATTCAATCAAAATATATATAAGAGGGAGATGAATGAAGGTGTTGATCAGCGATGCTCCAAATGTTGTTCTTCTCTAGTGCCTTCCACTTAACGAGAAGTCCATAAAGCATAATGGGCGTAATTATGGTTTTACAGAGCTTGAGGAAACCATTGGAGAAAGGCCCTATTTCTCACCTTTTGCCTGAGGAAGTAGCACAGAGCCACTAAAGTCCTCCTCTTCACCCTTTCCGCGATATAAGTATTTCATGACAGCTTCTAGAATCTAGTCGAATGCCTCCGATTGAGGATAGTCGCAAGATTGGTTCCGGTTTATAAGGATTCAGAACAACATAACATTATGGTATTTTATCAACTCTATGTCCCTCTGTGAATCTTGAAATTGCCTATATTCCAATCCAAGGTCAACTATGTATAGGAATTTTTTTTTTGTTAATTCAAAATATACATAAACGTTTCAAGTAATGCTTTTTATAACCAAATTCCGATATCCTCAGTTAATACAGCATTACGATGATAAAGGATACAACCAAAGTGTAATACATAAGTAAATAAAAGTTCCTCTCATAGCCGTTATCTGCCATCTTTGTGGCTTATTGGCCTCTAAAATGATTACAACAGCTGCATGCTTGTTTACATAATTGTCAATTGCACTTACAACCGAGTACCTATTTACATCAATTTGTATTTAACCTACAATAACACCTAAAATATGCGCTTAGTCCTATTTTATTTCAATTTGTCTGTTTTGCGGTAATTTAATTCGGTATTTTCTAAACGATAAAAACAAATGACGCACTTCAAAATGCCGCCAAAGAAAACAAACATTTGCCAACAGGCCATGAAACAGCAAGTAATGCCAGAGAAGTTACAACAGTTAACTGCTGATAACGAATGGCAGACATTTGCTGTATGAAAAAACACCAGCTGCGCGCACGCCACACCCCACACCCCACACAATACTAATTTTCGGCAGGTCTCGCGGGCGGGATAAACGAAAAACTTTAAGCTGAATGCAAATAACGCGCTTTTTTAGTCTTCTTATTTATATGCTTTGACAGTTATTTGGCTTTGTCGCTTATTCATTATCCGTTGGCTTTTGTTTTTCATATGCTTGCAGGATTTCGTTCAAGGACTTTCGATATTGTCGCGCGGCTCTGTAGAGGAGAAACTGCGTTGGACATTCTCGTTGTACGACATCAACGGCGATGGCTTCATAACGCGGGAGGAAATGACTGATATTGTGACTGCCATTTACGAGCTGATGGGACGCCTGCCGGACGAGTGTCCCGCGGAGGAGAAAATCAAATGCAAAGTCAACCACATATTTCAGGTAAGTGTGCAACAGCGTTTGCGGCAGCAGTAAACGACGACTGGCTGCCGGATTGTTTGCGAATCACAAAGCATAAAACGTAAACGAAATAAAAACCTGAAGAAATCATTAAGCATTAAAGCAGTGGAAAAAGAAAGTTGGCTATCAGCTCTTAATGTTTTGAGGAAATGGCGAGCATGCGACTGACTCACTCGTTCACTCACTTAAATATCATCTGCGTGACGATCTGACATGGCCAATCTCAGTGTCCTTCCTTTCTATTGAGAGCGTGCTTGACGTTGACATTGGGGTTTTTGCATTTTATTTTATGCATTCTCGTTTCACGCTAATTGGCTTGAATTTCTCGCTTATTTATTATTTGCCATCCACAGCATCAAGTTGTGTCGTACATAAATTATTTACCTTGCTTGGGCGCTTTTAAATTGATGACTTCGGGGCTACGTAAAATATGAAAGTTAATCTCGCTGCAAATTTCAAAAAATTAAATATCAAACCAAGGGAAAATTTTCAAATAGTTTTATTTAAGTAATTATGATTAGATTAGAAAAGATTAAATTGATTAGATTAGTTTAGATTAGACTATATTAGATACGAATAAATTAGATTAGATTAAATTAGATAAGATTAGATTAGGCATGACTTGTCTAGATCAGATACGGCTAAATTGGATTAGAATAGATCAGATGGGATTATATTAGATTAGTTTAGATTCGATTGAATTATATTAGAGTAGATTAAAATGAAACTAGATTAAATACGATTTGATGAAATAAGATTAGATTAGATCAGATTAGATTCGATTAGATCAGATTAAATTAGATTCGATTAGATTAGACTAGATTAGATTAAAATTAAATTAGATTAGATACGATTAGATTAAATAAGATTAGATTAAAATTAAATTAGATTAGATTAAATTAGATTAGATTAGATCAGATTAGATTACATTACATTAAATTGTATTAGATTAGGTAAGATTAGTTTAGATTAGACTAGATTCGAACATATTAGAGTAGATTATATTAGACTTGATTAGACTAGATTAGATCAGATTGGATTAGATTAGACTAGGTCAGATTAGATAAGATTAGATTAGATTAAATTAGATTAGATTAGATTAGATTAGATAAGATTAGTTTAGATTAGATTAAATTAGATCAGATTATATTAGAAAAGATTAGTTTAGATTAGACTAGTATTTCCATTGTTTTGTTTAGAATTTCCATTAAAACATCAAGTATATTGCAAATTCACATAGAATTACTAATACACATTTTACTTCTAACTGTATACTTTGCGTACTTTTTTTAGTACCTTTCTACTACCGTTTTCCCAAAAGGCGATCACGTTCTTCCAATTTCTCCTACTCCCAAAATACAAATCTAGATAAAGGAGAGTCAAATTTGAGCTGTCACAAATTACATAATCATTATTATGTATTTTTCATCAACCAAAAAAAAATACAATTCCAAAAATAATCATTATAATCAAAATAATCAGAGTGAAAAAATAGCACACGAAAACTTATTTTTATTTTTGATCCCATATCTCCATAGCTACTAAATGAGCTAATGATTAGCTAGAAGGAAATAAAGTTTTAAAATACGGTAAAAATGGCCTCAGGAATCTTACCCCTAAACCGTAATAACTTTTGGCAGAATAAACAAAAGATGCCACGTTCTGTAGAGGTATTCTATTGGCTGCCATTAGTAACAAGCATTATTTTCTTAATCCAATACATTTCAACTTTCAAGTAGGTATGAGCATTAGGGCGGATCGAAAAACAGAACATGTTTGATACGCAAATTGTATACGTCTTAAAAGGTGTTATTTTTATCCCTTATTCTAGAAAATAGATCCTGGTTTTCTTCGATAATATCTTCAGTTGCGGAATGTGCTTGAAAAATTGAAAATAAGAGTGGAATACCAAATTTTCAAATTTTTACAAGAATTGTGTAGATCAAATCCGAAATTAAGATAAGTGACTTTCGACCATTAAATCACAAAAAAAGAATACAGTAGATATAAGAGAAACAAGTAGCAGCGTTACTTTCAGATTGGTCTAAAATTGGTTTTGGAGATTGGTTAAAATATTGATGTTACTTACTTTTGATTTGCCCTATATATTTTATATGATTTTATGATAGGAAAAAAGTTCCGGAATTTATCCTTGTAAAATTTTTAAAAATTAGTATTCCCACTCTTATTTTCAATTTTTCGAGCTCATTCCGCAGACTGAAGATATTGTCGCAGAGAACTAGGATTTTTTTTTCTAAAATATATCACCTTTTAAGACCTATAAAATTTTCGTATCAAGCACGTTGTGTTTTTCGACCCGCCCTAATGAGCACACTTCATGACTGTGAAATGAATGCAAAGGAGATCACTGTAAGACATTTTCAGTTTTTTCTCGTGACTTGATGAAACCAACATTTTTTGAAAGTCTGGTTTGTATAGAGAAAAGCAATTCTCAGCTTCGCTAGATTGGCGATTTTAATTGTATTTTTGTTTTCTTCTTTTTTTTGTGTATTTGAAGATTCAGATTCTACGTAGCCGAAAACTCCCAAAAAGGCCCTTTGATGATATAAATACGAGTATTGGCATTTAAGTCAATTTTAATTGTTTTAAATGCGGCTCCGAAAAAAACGCTTAAAATCTCCAACCTGAGAAATTACTTTAAATCATCAATTCCCTAGCCGACTGTCGAACAGTGGATTTATTAGTAAGAAGTAGAAGTCGCTGCGCTTAAAACATGTTTTTGTACTGCACTTTTCCAACATTTCCTTGTGCACTGATTAACTTAAATTATAAAAAACACGCTTCGAGCTTTAATTTCATGTTATTAGTAAGCATGTAGAAAATAAGTGGAAAAAAGTGCTCAACATTTCCGCATTTCTTTACTTCTTTTGCAGAAAATGGACAAAAATGGCGATGGTGTGGTGACACTGGACGAATTTCTGGAAACGTGTCGAAGTGACGAAGCCATATCAAGATCAATGTCGGTCTTTGACTCAGCGTTCTGACCATATCCGCTGCGCAAACGGGACGATAGCGCCGGCGCTCACCGGCAACGCAGACAGCCGTCAGTGGGTAGAAATAAGGTAGGCACTGGCGCCAGTAGTAATCATAGTCGTACACGTAGTAGTCGCAATAGGCGCAAGCAATCATCATCACAACAACATCAGCAGCAGCAGCAGCAGCAGCAACAAAAACAACAAGCGCAGCCACAAATGTCACAAGAACAACAGCAAACTCCATTGGATGTGCAGCCAGAACGTGATAAATGTAAAAAGGCAGATAAACGTAACTCCAGTAAGAAAATCCTACAAATACAACTACCAGATAAGGCACATCCACAGTCACAGCCAAAATCAGATTTACAACAACAGCAGCAAAAACGACACGATGCACTTTTAAGCCAAAATTTATCAAATAGTAGCCAAATAACTCAGCTAGCGGAAAAAAGCAGGCCGAGGGCGCACCGTACCGTTACAAATAGTGTCGATGCGACTGCTTGCCACACTTCCAGCAGCGATGCCTCCACTGCCTCCTGCGACAGCGATAGCGAAGAAGCGGTTAGCGAGAAACTCGCTTCAATGTGCCACCACTGCCTGCGACCACAAATCGAAATGCAACTACGTCATCTGCGTCCACATCAGCGCCGACAATGGAGCCGCCTACTACAGCAGCAACACAGCAAGCGACGCAACAGCAAAACGCGCAAAGAGGTAAGCTGGAGCGGTGGCGGTGGCGGTGGCGTTGATCGCAAAAATGGCGAGGGCAGAAGTGGAGGTGGCGGTGGTGGTGCAATTGGTGTGGAACCGTCTGGCTATGGCGCTGGCGACTATTTGCCGCCAACGGGCACCACCTATACAACCGGTGCGCATTGGTCGCGACGCGATGTCAGCGCGGCGGTACGCTATCGTTGTCCTCAAGTGGGTCCAAAGCCAGCGCCCTATCACTTCCATCATCCGCAACAACTACACAATGCATATCAGCTGCAATTGCTATTGCAGCAATGTGAATACGTGCCACCAGCATACCACCAACAACAACAGCAACAAGATTTGTATTATAAGCGGCAAGCGACATTACATAATAATAATATGGACTTGAATACTTCCAACACCACTACCACCGCCACCGCCAACAGCACCACGACTACGTCGAACGCAGCAACCACAATCACCATTGAATGTGATTCGCAACCGCAATCTCAAATTGAACAACAAAAACTGCTGTATCAACAACAAATAAATCAAAATATACAATTTAATCAAAATTTACACGCAATGACCACAGCAACAACAACCATTAAAACTGCCACATCGAGTGGGTGCAGCGTGAATGGCTGCACGAGTAACACCAGCTTAGTCGAAGCGGCGACAGCGCAAACAGGTAGCCAGCATGCGGCGGCAACTCATGTCGCCATGCAGCCGCAGGGGACAGCTCTGCCAGCAATGGGCCGTGGCACAAGGGCGGGCGCAGTTAGCGACAGTGAGCTGCAGTTGCAGCAGCAGCAGCAGCCGAGTACGTCCGAACCGCCGTCGCTAGTGAAGGTACGCGCTTGGTACACAGTGGCGAAACAGGGTGTTTCTTGCTAATAATCAATTTACCATCTCAATCTTTCGGCTTTAACTCAACTGTGCTCTCTATTTACTATTTAGTACTAAGTATTCTTGTAGGAGAAAGTTCTATCTTAGATATACATATATGCATGTATGTCCCTTAACAGAATCGTGCGTAAGTGCGTAGTGGTTTTTGTTTTTTTGTTGTTAATTATTGGTATGTATGAATGTAAGTGGAAGACTCTGTACGCAATTATGCGAAATGATGCAAAATTATTTGCTCTTGAAGCCATCACGGGATCTTAATAGGCCTAAAGCTGAGTTTCACTTGTAAATACCGAATTTTTATGCAGAAGTCATCAGGAGCTAAGACTATATTATTACGAAAAGAGGGCAAGTAAGCCAAAGAATAAAGTTTTCCCAAAAAGAAATCCGGCGATTGGTTTTTAGCATCATACACGGGTATTCCCTTTGAAAGCTTCAAAAGTCTAAGGTTTGTTGACCTAGATTTCGCGAAACTACACAAAAGAAAATTATGGAACGATTAAATCGGACGCTCTTGGTGGCTAGTGCAAGAGACTGGGCGACCCGTAAATGCAGCCCTCAGCCTTAGACTGTGCTCAGTGGCTTGACAAATTTTCGAAAAAAAAATAACGCTCGATGACGCCTTCAACTAAAACATCACACCCTGCAATAACTTTCAGTGTACTAACTCTCGTAGGTTATATGCAGATTATTAATGCCTCAGAAGTGATAATTCCGCTTATTCACATATCCCCCGAAAATGCAGGTTTTCGATTAAACGTTGTCTTCTTCGTGGTCGAGATGTATTGAGCATAAGTTACACTCGCTTGACGGTCAACGGCTAAAAGTCGATACACTGTCTGCACTTTTTAAAGGAATATCTTCAAATCGTTCACCAAAATTCTCTTTAAAAACCGCCACCGGATGCCCAATCGCATCGTAAATAGTCTGGTCGATACCCTGGAGTCCTCTCCGACATCTGCAGCGGTAGAAAGGCTGCTCCGGATCCGCCATGTCTGTCCCATACTCTTCTAGTCGAGAGATTAAATGCGCGATAGTTGGTGTCGAAGGAACAGAGGATTTTCGCCTACTTTCACTATGTAAATAAAGTCTTACTCCGCGTGCTTGCGAAGTTTTTTCGATTCGTGGTCAGTTAGCGTGTGTTTTATATCTGTTTATTTCACAAATGTTAAAGCAGAACTGATATTTGCCGGAATTTGCAGAAGTTGGAGCGTCTTCCGATAGGGTGATGACATTCGCGTCACGTTTGTAGATTTAACGCAAATCGGACGTGTGTGGATTTAGTAAAAGCCACTAGTTCCGATTTTTTTTTTAAAACCCACATTTCATAATTGCTTTGCAGAGTTTGCTTATGTGTCTCCTTTCCTATCTTGAGGTACTTTCTATAAATGTATATGTATTAGGAACCCATAAAAATGGCGCTAAAAATTCGTTTCAAATTTTAACAGCGAATGATAACGAGATTAGGTTAAGTTTAAAAATATAGTTTAAGCAGATTAGTGATTATAAATAAAAAAAAACTCATAATTAATTATTTATAATGATCAATGATAGATTTGAAATGTTAGGAATTTTTAATAGTTGTATGTATGTATGTATGTATCTAAAAGCCAACGAAAAGGGTATTCAAATTAGAAAGCTAAGATCATATTGTGCGCTATAAGAAATTCGATTCAAAAATGTTTTATCAAGGTTAAGTTAGACTGAAAAGTCGTTTAAGCAGGGCACACTTCTGCAGCCCTTGGGCCATTTGTGATATTGCGTTGGTGTTTGTGTTTACTCCAATCTCCTTAAAACTGTTAGGAGTGAAATTCGTCAAGTTTCTTACTACAATGAACCCGAGATCATCGAGCCCCTTGTCTGGTCGGGGTAAATCAGGGACCGAGAACGCGTTCCAGTTTGGTTTAGTTCTGCATGAGAACAAAATTTAATGTCAAGAACGTTCCCACAAAAGGACCAAACGGAAAAATAAATATTGAGCGCTTTTTGAACAAGAAAAAATTCAGAGCAAAAGGAGCGAAACGTTTCCATAAAGAACAAAATGCGAACAAAACTCTCGGAACGTAGTCCGAGAATTTCTTTCCCTGTAAGAAAGTTCCTGAGACTTAAGTTCCTAAATTGCTATTCGAGAGAAAATTACGTAGACTTTTGTTCCCATATAGTTCTTTTCGAAAATGTTGCGAAGACTTCTGTTCCCATTTTGTTCTCTTAGAAATGTTCCCGAAAGTATTGTTGGCTATTCGTTCCCTTTGGGAATGTTCCACAGAATTCTGTTCTTATATAATTCCTATATAATTCCCATTGAGAACTTCTCGACAATTTTAATCTCATTTTGTTTTTGGTTTTGAAGCGTTCTTGAGAACAAAACTACGAGAACGACATTAAGTTTCGTTCATACCTTTTGCTCTCGGTCCCTGGGAAAAAGTGCTTGAAGGGCAGATAGATTTTAAAAGTTGCTTGCGAACACAGCTCTAAATCTCGAAAGTGTCTCATTTTCTACGAATTTGTTAAAAATTCTTTTTCAAGACGCCGAAAAACTTACGATTGGATCGTAAATTGCAGACCCGTATACCGTTTTTCTCGATCAGCTTATTTTCTCAAGATATTTTCAGGCTACTAACGATAAAACCCGATAACCGATGCATAAATAAATAATAATAAATATTAATAAAAAATACATACGAAAAAATGCAATAATTTTTTGTGTGAAATAGGAGCATTTGGGTGCAATTTTCCTTGTTAAAGTTTGATATTTTTTATTTGCAATGCAAACTTAAAATGAAAGCATTTTCCAAAGATTACCTAATCTACAAGGTTACCTTTTGATGTGCGATGATATTTTTTTTAAAACATTTTAACGACGGCTCTACAGGGACTGCTAGAGTTCGTAATAATTTTGAGTGAAGATTTGCTTATCTTGGCATTAAATTTATCCAATAAAATTTGTACGTAAATAAAATTTTACTTAAAACTCCTTGCTTTTTTTTAGCTTTCGTGTATCTTTAAAGAAATATTCATATATTTTTTGTATATACATATATTTTTTTTTTTTAAGTCCCACTTAAGCCTTGATAACGCATTTTTAAATCGAAATATTCGAATATTCACAAAAAAATAGTGGTGTTAGCTGTTAAATGAGATTCATAAGCATATTATTTATTCTTATAAAAATGTATGTACATAGGTGTTTGTGTATATATGTATTCAAATGTATATAAGTTTATTATCGAAACCAAATTATTCTATCTCTCTAAAAAATTTAGTTCATGAAAATGGGTATTAAAATTTTTTTTTTTAACTAAAGTCAGTGTGTGTATGTTGTTTTTTTTTCGAAAATTGTTTGCACTTTACTTGACCGACTAAAATTAATTTTAGTTTCCAAGCAAAATATGTTTGTACATAGTTAGATACAAAAGTATTTCTTCATATTTGCAAATATAAATTAGTGTGTAATCTAGTGATGTTTTCCAATTATAAATGTTCATAAAAAATTAACGAAATTAGCATAAATAAGTTCAAAACCTAAGTATTTAATTATCAATTAAAGTATTGATATTTGTAAAACCAGTGATTGGCAAATAAAATTTATAAATAAAACGAGAATATTTTTATAAAAATCGATAGTTTAACAAATTCAATCTAATATCATATTTTGGTTTGTTTCCGACAACATTTCTACGACTGTATGTGTATATGTATGTTCTTTCTTTTTCAAGCGAAATCTAAATGTTAAAATTAAAAATTTAAATGAATATTGTAACAGAATGTAAACAGCTGTGTAAACGTACTACGTAATTACTCGTATGTAGAAAAGAGTTTAAATTAAGTATACATACGTACGAAAAAGCATACATAAATAGTTTTCTCTGCCACGGTTTACAAGTTCCTTATTTTTCAGAGCGCGCGCATATCCAAGTTGGCGCGCTTTTTTTTTTTTGGAGGGCTAGTCAGTTAAAAGTGAAAAAGTAGTTTGATTATCTGAATGTAGTTGCAAATATTTTATAAAAAAGTTGTTAACTAATTCTAGAAAAAAGTTTGTTGGTAGGGCATGTATGCGCAAAAATATTTCAACTCTATGTGGTTTATCGTGCAAGTGATATTTTTCCTATCTAAAAACAGGAGAAAAAATAAGTGAAACAAAAAACAGCCGAACGAGCATGTTGTTCTTATTTTTGAATGCAAAATTTTACTTTGTAATACTCAACATGAAGACTTACTTAATTAGACCATGAACGAGCGATACTTGAATGATGGGTTGATAGAGAAAAGCTTAGATGTTTAAAAGAAACGCAACCCAGATGTATTAAACTTCCCGGTCATGAAGTATTTGGCAGAAAGTGTTAATAAGCGGAATACTTTTAGGCAGCTTATATTCGATGTAAATTTTTTTGTAATTTTACAGGCAGTACACGCGATATTTTTTCTTTTAAAACGATTGTTAGTTGGAATTGAAAAAATAATCATTATTTGCGGCCTTAGTGATATAAAACATTTTAATCTTCTACATACATATCCTACTACAAGTATCAGCAGGTTGAATAAATGAGATGTGTGCTTTAAGGCACGACCGCACTGAGCAGCGCGACACGGCGCGACACTTTTTGGTATACCGCACTGAGAGTTTTTAATTTATTTGTATCAAAACCTTCAAACAAAATGGATACCAGTGATGCTAATGTAATGTTCATGCCATTTATTTTAATTTTCCTTGGCTAATTGTTCTCGAATGTTATGTTTCTTTACATACAATTTTCTTCTCGAATTAATTCATAATATTTACTCATAATTCGTAATACAATTTCTTTGAGTTAAAAAAATTGTCCGAAATGTTATGTCATTCCGCGCGACTTTTTTGCCTAGTTGCACCTTTTTTCCTAGTTTGCCACTGCAGCGCAGTGCGGTATGCTCCATAAGAATCCATTCAAATAATATTTTGCTGCGCTGTGTAGTGTGGTGTCGCGTCGCGCGGTGTGCGGTCGTACCTTTAAAAAATGCCAGCCACAAAAAATAAGCAGGGTGTTAAGATTGGGAGAAAAAACCTAAATATGCTGGAAATGATCCGCGTACAAGTAATATGAAAGAGGGGCGCAAGGGCGCATTAGTAACATTAACCGCCCTGTTCCTATGACAAAACTAATCGCATGATTACAATTTGCTTTATTTACTGTGGCCAAGACTTTGTCGTCGAATTCAATAGGTCACAAAATGGCAAATGTTTATGAATAATAATAATAGAAATAATAGATTGGCGCTTACACAATCATGTCTATTCCTGTATACGACGGATGCCTTTCGTACGAATATACATAATCCTATGACACTTAACGAGTGTAAAGGAGTAAGGAGAGGCAACTACAGTTTTACGCCGACTCTTGGCACAAATACACCAGAAAGTTTGCCATTGTCTGCCGAGGGTCGGCCGCTATTAGAAAGAACCTAAAATCATATTTACGACATAGTATTACAAGGATAATAGTGCATTTCCACCAAGGCTTAACTGCAGTTTATGCCTATTGGTAAACATAGATTACAGCTTGAAGAGGGTAATTACTCGTATTAAGAATGTACAAGCAAACTAAAGTCAAAAAGTAAAACGGAAAAAAATAAACCTTGCCAATCACCGCCGGTTAAAATTCTTGGAACTTACCTCAGCTCTTAGCTGCAGTTAAGCTTTTGGTGAAAATACGCTATAAGATAGTTGCAAGTCTTTTGTAAAACAATTGAAAAACTGTAGGTAAGAGACTTTAAGAGACTTTCTTTCCTCTAGCATGAAAGTCTAACAAAAAAAAACTCTTTTAACAGAAATCCATTGAGCATGTTCCACATTATAATTTTCGTTTTGTTCGTGCTGCTCCAATTGTCCTAATGGCCGCGAAAGCAAAGCACTGGCGTGCCATTCGAAGGATCCGGGGTTCGATTCTTATGTCAGTGAATTTTTTATTTTTTTATTTTAATTATCTTTCCCTTTTTTAATTTAATTTTCTTAAATTTTTTTCTTGTTTTATTTTTATTTTTTCCTTTTTAATTGAATTTGCTTTTTTGTTTTAATTTAATTTTCCTATATTTTTCAGAATTTATTGTTTTAAAAAGAGAATACATGTTTTTTTTTTAATTTCATTTGATTTATATCTTAATTTCTTTATGTTTTCTCTTTTATTGAATTTTATATTTTGTGTCAATACAACTTTCGTTTAATATTTATATTTTATTGTTTAAAAAAATAAAAATATTTTTTTTTTTCATTTAGTTTTCAGTTTAGGAACTCGTTTTATTGTTTCATATTTTTTAATAGTTTATTTAATTTTCTTCTACTTTATAAATTTTATTATTTCAAAGCTAAAAATATTTACATACACACGTATATATTTCTTTAATTTCATATAATTTGTGGAAAATAAGTTTATTTTTACTAGCTTTTATTTAACTTGCTATGTATGTATGTATGTGTGTAAGTATTTTTGTTAGGGGCAAATCTTTCAATCAATTTTTGTTCAACTTGCCGATGACCTAGA